CCATAGTCACTGATATAATGCCTGTAAATTTGCTGAAAATGTAAGCTCACCCCCTGCTTTTAACAGTAAAGGAAGTTTCAATGGGTGATATAATTTCCACAATGCTAACATTTTACTGTTAGCATTACATTAGCATTCCAGAGAGATAAAGACTGCTATATCCATTTGAAATACCTTTATTTTATAAATATATAATTTAACTGTATTTATTGTGTCCAAGTATGCAGACATTCTATTACATGCTGTTACCAAGTTGCACTGTTAGTAATGCCTTCGTGGTAAAATATTAGACCATTTTTATTTATCTCTTTTTGGTCACATCTGCTGTATGTACAGAAAATAGAATTTGTGCTTTAATACTAACATTTTAGACCCTGCGTGAACGTTTGCAACATAAAGGAGACTGTAAACTGTCTAAAGCTTTTCATTTCCCAAATAGTATTAGAAAGGCTGAATGAAGAAGTGAAAAATAAAAATTATTTAAATGTACTACATTTTAATTAGAACATTTGTCTGCACAGCAATATATATACGTTGTGTGTATGTGTGTGTGTATATATATTTTCTGGCCATATCCATGGCAGCACAACAATGGGTAGCTCCATCCTCCCAGAATAACCTCTACCTCACATACCTGTCTCTTGCTCTCTCCTAAAGGGCAGCACTCTACTCTCTCCTCCAGCTCTGCTCCACTCCCACTTAATTTGACTCCTGTTCCCTGTCCTAATGTGTTTTATACCCCACCTCCTATAGACTGTAAGCTCGTTTGAGCAGGGCCCTCTTCAACCCCTCATTTCTGTAAGTTTTCTTGTAATTGTCCTATTTATAGTCAAATCCCCCTCTAATAATATTGCAAAGCGCTATGGAATCTGTTGGCGCTATGTAAATTGCAATAATAATAATAATAACCTATCTCTAATTAGACAGGAATTAAATTAAAACAAAAGGTATAAGTAACCCCTCCCACCTTTAGTCTTTTTGTTCCTGTCATATCCCTAGGACAGACTTAGTCATTCTACGACTAGATAATTTTTCTCTCAGGCTTACTTGAGGATTGTTACCTTCTGCCTCAAGGGAGTTCAGCCTCTCTTCCTTGGGAAGTCTTCAGTACATGGCCCTGTGCAAAGGTGAGCCCCTGAAGATACTCCTCAGTGACCCTAGGGGTAGCAAGATCATGCCATCACCACATTTTCTGCAGTGACCCAAGGGGTAGCAGGCTGGGCATGCACATACAGAGCATATATATGGATTAAACCCCTTCTACTCTTCATCAGTTTCATCTTATTCCTAGGCCTCTATGGCTTTTAATATAGCTGCTGGATGCATTTATGCCTAGGCCTATATGGTTGCAACCTGGCCTTGTATTACAGCCGCTGGTTGCAACCTGGCCTGTATTTTACCAGCACGGCTGGTATTTGAGGCCTCCTGGATGGTGTCGGTATTGCAGTAATACCAGCAATACAAATACTGGTATTTTTCTGTTGCAATACTGGCGCCAGCCAGTAGGTGGCATTGTGTGTGTGGAGATAGACAGGGATAGGAAGTTATAGAATTTCCCTCCCAGCCTCTCTCTACTCACTGATCCGCAGGGGAGCAGCTCTGCCAAGCGAGTCCAGCCTGCAGCTCAGGTAACTGAGGAAAGAGGGCTGGGGGCAAATAGAAGGGAAGTCTGTAACAGGTAACACAGGGGACACACAGAGACATGGGGACACTGGGGCATACAGAGTTATTGGGACACTTGGGTACACAGAGACATAAGGGACACTGGGGCACTCAGAGACATGGGGACATGGGGACATGGAGACATGTCCTGGTAGACACAGAGACATGGGGGGCACTGGGGTACACAGAGACATAGGGACACAGAGACATGGGAACACTGGAGGAACCAGAGAGACACAGAGACATGGGGACACAGGAGGATCCTGGGAGACATGGTGACACTGGGGCACACAGAGACATGTGGACCCTGGGGCACACAGAAACATGGCGACACAGATACATGGGGACACTGGGGGGGACCAGAAACATGGAGACACTGGGGGGACACAGAGACATGGGAGGACACCAACATGGGAACACTTGGGGATCCTGGAAGACACTGGGACACACATAGACATAGGAACACTGAGGATCCTGGGAGACTCAGAGACATGGGGACACTGGGGGACACAGAGACATGGGGACACTGACACACTGGGAGACATGGGGACACTGGGGCACTGGGGCGTTGTGTGTGTGTGGAGATAGACAGGGATAGGAAGTTATACCATATCCCTCCCTGTCTCTCTCTACCCACTGATCAGCAGAGGAGCAGCTCTGCCCAACAACTCCAGCCTGCAGCCCAGGTAAGTGAGGGAAGGGGGACACACAAAAAGAAGGGCAGTTTGTAACAGGTAACACAAGGGGCACACAGAGACATGGGGACACTGGGGCATACAGAGTCATGGAGACACTGGGGTACACAGATACATAAGGGACACTGGGGCATACAGAGTCATGGGGACACTGGGGTACTCAGAGACATAAGGGACACTGGGGCATACAGAGACATGGGGACACATAGACATAGGGACACTAGGTGATCCTGGTAGACACAGAGACATGGGGACACTGGGGTACACAGAGACATAGGGACACACAGAGGCATGGGGACAGTGGGGCACACATAGATATGGGGACACTGGGGGTTCCTGAGAGACACAGAGGCATGGGGACAAAGGGGAATCCTGGGAGACACATAGACATGGGGACACTGGGGCACAGGGGGATCCTGGGAGACATGGTGACACTAGGGCACCCAGAGACATGGGGACACTGGGGGACACGGAGACATGGGGACACAGATACATGGGGACACTGGGAGAACAGAGACATGGAGACACTGGGGGACATAGAATGCACAAAACAGTTGCATCTATTAATCATGGATCCCTGGTTATACTTTGGTTTATCAATTAAACCACACAATGGGGTGTTGCAATTCTGTTTCTATTGCAATTCCCATTGTTGTATTATATGTTCACACATAATTAATGGAGCTACAGAATTTACTTCCTTTCCAATTTGTTTTTACTGTGGCACACAAGATCAGTGGTGATTTAGCTTTTGTTGTTTATCTTCTCACTTATACCTTTTGTTGTTGTCTATCTTCTCACTTGTGCTGATATAATCCAAGCTTCTAGATCAACTAACCTCTTAAGGGTGGAGGCAATTGTACAAGTTCTGATCAAAACAAAATGTAAAAAAAAAATCTGGATTTTAGCTATATATCTGTTCGACCATTATTTGCCTCTTTCATAATAAATGCACCCACACTTATATATCATTTTGTTACGAAGAAACAGGGCTTTTGTTTTATATCACTTTTTTTTTGACAATCTTTATTTGCATTTTGACAATAAATTCTCACAATTTTCACAATGAATGAATTTTGCTGTTCTGTGTACAAATGCAGACATTCAAGTTACACTTTGACATTTTGCAAATTATTGCATCCGTCATATGCATTAATATATCATTTGAGATGGACACACATCAGTTGTAGCTGCATATTGGCATAACCATCTCTTTGGAGACCCTCGTATATCCCTGGGCTCTCTTCCTGTCTCCTTATCAGTAATTTTAACTCCATAAAGACTTAAAACTGCATATAGTGGTGTTGCCTAGTGCAGTGCAGAAGTGTGTATTATTACATAGGGCTAACAGGGTCGTTGGATTAACAATTTACGCCATCAGTGTGCATCTTTGTCTTTTCTGTACATGACATCCTCACATCAGGAGTATGATTGTGTTGGGATATACATTCAGGCCTCGGGGTGCACCGGTACTTTCCCTTAACTGTGAGTTTATCATTCTAAACAATGCACATATAATGTATTTCTAAAGGGGGTTAGTGGGTCTTGCTCGCTGTTTGTGTGTCCATTGTGCATCTTGTGTATGTGTAAGTCTGTGTTCGTCTGCAGGTGCCAATGGTTGTGTTAGTTGCGTGCGGTCTGATCCTTGTTAATGTTGAGTATGTCCTGGATTAAATGTTGGGTCATCTCCATTTAGTTACTGGTGTGTTTATAGCCAAAGGATTAATCATGGACTTTTGAACCTGTCTAAACTGTCTCTGTGTCCGTGTTGTGTGTCGCAGCTGTTGTGGTACACGGGTCAGGGGACCACACCACTGCGGATAGCGTGGAAGGGGGTCAGGTCCTGGGGGAGGTTGACGATAGAGGGGAAATAGTCGGAGTGCAGAAAGAAAAAGGGAAAAAAGGAGCTAATTATGGGGAGCGTTTGTGCTATTAAGTGTCCTCCTCCATCCTCGTTTTATATCCAATTTGTATATATAAAAAATAATTTTAAATGAATAAAATCTCTAAAAAAAAGTGTCAGAAATTAAGAAATGTTGTTTCCTTAGTTTTGCATGGCATTTTAACTGTGATTGTCATAAAACTGTTAGTTTCTTTCACTGCAATAAAACAAGCATATTTGTGTTCAGCAATGCCTCACAAGTACAAGAGTACCCTCCATGTAAAGGTTTAATTGGGTTTTGAAAACGTTCCCTTTTTCAGTTCTTACACACTGAAATTTGCCAGATTGGTTATGTTGCCTTTGAGACAATATGGTAGCCTAGGAATAAGAATTACCACATCATAGCATACCATTTTAAAAAGTAGACAACCCAGGGTATTCAAAGTGTTCAGTCTTTGTTAGTAGCCACTTAGTCACAAACACTGGCCAAAGTTAGCATTTATATTTGTTTTTGTTTTTTGTATTTTTCACAAACTAAAAATGCTCTTTCATGGATGATATCATCAGCATTATACTCTTTACTTCAATAAAACACTAATTTTTGTGTTCACGAGTACAACAGTAACCCCCATGTTTTAACTTGCTCCTTTTATATTGTTTCCCAATGGAATGTATTGAGAAATGTAGAATTTGTTTAACTCCTTAAGGACCAAACTTCTGGAATAAAAGGGAATCATGACATGTCACACATGTCATGTGTCCTTAAGGGGTTAAATACCTTCTATTTATCCTGTGTGCATGTGTTAGTGAATAGTTTCTGTCAGTCAATGTGTTGTGAAGATGCCCTATTGAAATGACACTTTTTAAAATTAAGTGTTTTTGTAACGTCCATATAAATCTGTTTTTATGAGGAGATCTCAAATGACATCATATAAACCACACTAACCTAACTGATCAACCAAAAGGTAAACGTAAAAAAACAGGAAATTGGGCTTAAAGAGGAAATGTCATTTCCACGATTTTAAATATAATGTTTGCCTATCTCTACAGTTAACAAATACATATTTGCTATGTGTGAAAATAATAATAAATTGGGAAGTGGGGGAAGATGGGGTGTACATGTCATTGTCCACAGGGTGGGTGCAAGGATTTTTTCACACACAGGCGAAGATTAATTTTGTCTGCCCCCACCCCTCCCACTCTATATCCTGCAAGTGTGTAGCTCTTACACAGATATCATGATAGCATGCCTGTGTGAGAACCAAATATTCATGGCTACTACACCTGCTGTGCCCCCACCCAAACAAGACCGGTTTTAGTTTTAATGGTCATAATTTCTTATATGCATCTTCCAATATCCTGTGTGTATATATATATATATATATAATTGTAGATACAAACTCCTTTTGACACATACACATACACAATACCTGCCATACACATAGATGCATAATGTCAGGACAGACACAGATGCACACATACTGTCAGACACACAGTCAAACATACTTAGATACATAGGGATTTGCACACTCTGTCAGACACACGCAGATAACTACACATACACACTGTAAAACACACATACAAACAATCAAACACACTCACAAACACTATTTTGTTTTTTTGTAGGTCCACCCAGTCTACCTACCTCTGGAAAACTAGAGTGGATCCTATCCCTGGGGTCCAGTGAAGAGCTGCTCTGATCTTCATGCGTTGTCTGTACATCACCCTTGCACATCGTGTAGTGAAGCTTAAACCAGAGTGACGTCACATTCAGGCTCCCAGCACACAATAGGAAGCATGAGGGAGTTGTGCAGGCACAGAAAATATAAAATCGATAGATGTGAGGAAATTCCAGCTGCTTCATTTTCATTTCATCTATAAATTTAATTTGATTCTCATTACTGTTGACCTGATAAAGGTCTAAACGAGGAATCAAAATACTGATCTTTCACTGATATTTATTGGCTGCATGTAAAATAAAGCAGCTTATTATATTTTCACATCAATGAGAGACAAATTATTTTCTATGTAAACTATTTAACTGTGATCACATTTCTGTATAGTTTTGTAGTTGTTCACAATAAAAATATATGTTTGCTAGATTTGTCTTTTTCATTATTTATGTGATCCAGAGTTATCAGATATTTATGTCTCGAAATGGTGATGCATGTGAGCAGTGCAAACTAGGCTTGACAACAAATCCTTTTCACCTGTGCTGAACGAATGAAATTCCTGTTGATCTATGTCCAAAGAAATCAATTCGTACACAATGACAGATTGATTTTTTTTTGTGCTTCAGATTAAAAGGAATTTTATTTGTTCATCGAAGATAAAAATAATTTGTGCACAAGACAATTGTTAAAATGTATTATATGTACATCTACATCTTTTCTCTATTTCTATCATTCTTGTTTAAAGTATAACTCACATGCATATTTTATTTGAGTTTGAATAGTATCTTGTATTTTGAAACAACTTACACTTGTGGATATTCACAGGAGATTTTAAAGGGACACTATAGTCATCAGAACAACTACAGCTTAATATAGTTGTTCTGGTGAGTATAATAGCTCCCTTTAGACATTTTCATGTAAACACTGCCTTTTCAGAGTAAAGGCAGTGTTTACATTGCCCCTAGGGACACCTCCAAATGGCCACTCCTTAGATGGCCACTGGAAGGGCTTCCTGGCTTCCCTTTGGGAAAGCATCGGATTGGCAAAGAAATCGGCCGTTTTGATGATGTCACAAAGGGGGTGGGGCCAGCACCGGTGGATCCTCGTGGCGCTGCAAATGAGGTGAGTTTTAAACTTTTATAGTGAGGCTTAGGGGGGGGCAAGCCACCTAAATGGTGGGTTTAGCACTATAAGGTCAGGAATACATGTTTGTGTTCCTGACCCTATAGTGATCATTTAAGCTCAGCTTTACTATGTTTTGTTTTAAATTGTGTTTTTATTTTGTTCAGAATAAAAGCAGCTGAACAGCAAATCAGAAGTGCAGTTTTACTTTTGCCTTCGCAGAGGCTAAGAAGAGCAATATGAGGCATTAACATAACATATCATGTCAAGGGGCCTGCGCAGAGATCCTCAGCAACTGCAAATAGGAGTAAATGAGCATATAGGAATGTGACTGCATCCAATAATAGCGTAGTATGCAAATAATCTGAAATGTATTCTAAACAACATAATCATAGTCATAGTCATAAAACACAACAACACCTTCACGCCTCAAATGTAATAATTGCAGGATATGTACTGTGATGAAGTGCCCTTCACCACTTGTGCCTGTAGAGGACTAATTGCCAGCCTCCTGCCATGTGACTATGGTCCCTGGGAGACTTTGCCAGTTAAAAACACTATTTGGACTTATTGGTGTTTAAAAGACTGTTATGGCCCTTTAAATGGAACTGGCACAATTCTACAATCTTTACTATGGCACTTCGGATTCAGCCGAAGTGCCGAAGTAGTCGAAGTGGCCGCCATTCGACAACCGAACATGTGGTGGCGGCCATTTTGATTAATTCGAACGCGGTCAGCTGTGTTTTGCCGTTGAGTTCATGAAACTAAAATCGGCTACTCGACTCCACCGCTGAAGTTTTACCTTCTTTTGGAACTCTTACCATTCAAATGGAGCCGAACGGTGTTCGACTATTTGAACGCCGCATTGACATTACTATTTGCATGAACGGCACCCTTTCGTGTATTCGAAGGACATGTGAACTGAGATGAATAGACTGGCCGCACAGCCCAAATCTATGGAACTCTTTTGGGCAGGAAAGCCATGCTTGCGGTTGGTGAAAGGTGACTTATACCTATCTCCCGAACTCCTGAACCGATTTGGGTGATTTTTTTATATGTTTGTCCCCTAGTTATGCTTGTTCTGAAATGTGAATTTGATGTATACTTTTAAAGTTATGAATATTGTGTAAAACTGAATATTTATTTGCCTGTGATAATTAAGTTAGCCCATTGTGTTTAGTAATTATATCACAGGCAGAGTGGAGTGGAGTTTGTGTGCCTTGGCTGGGAGTGTCTAACTGTATTGTAATGTGTTTGATTGGCTGTTCCACAAGACCACGTGGGTGGTAACCTTGTAGAAAATCTTATATAAAAGCAAGTCCTTTGGTGCTCATTAAACAGACCTGCTTGACCCTTTCTTGAAGCCTTAGCTCATGTTTGGGGGATGGGATAACTACACTCTTGGGGATTGCTATATTCACACTATACTCCCCAGGGTAAGCTCTTGTAAGAGCTGTTCTTGTTCCTGATACGCTCTCTGGAATAGGAGAGGACTACCCACTGGAAGCTGGATCCTGGTCTTGGGTCCAGGGTGGGTGGAGGATGGCGAGATCCCAGCGCAGCTGTATCGCTGGAAGTGGGATCCGCAGTACTTATGGTGTCTGGTGGAGTGCTTGGAGTCCTCGGCAGGCACTAGGAGCATCGATGGATGGAGGTACTCGGTCGTAGTGCCAGCGTTCCGTCACAGGGACATTATACTTTGGGTTTTATGACGGTAATGTTATTTGGAATACATTTCCAAACAACATTCCATCCACCAGCTAATATATTTAAAAAAACAAATACTTATTTAGTGTTAATTAAAGTGGTAATTATGGAGAATTTAATTATGGAGAATTTCTAGCCAAACTAGAACCTTTACCAGTTCATCTGAGTTTTCAAATCATCTATTTTGCTTTAACCCCTTAAGGACCAAACTTCTGGAATAAAAGGGAATCATGACATGTCACACATGTCATGTGTCCTTAAGGGGTTAAATGTAAAGTTCACTTTGGATTTCTGACAATTTGCACTTTTCTGATTAAATCTAGTTTTGCTATTCATGCCATCGCATTGACTTTATCTGTTTATCAGAATCTGAACTACGCTTTTTTTTTTACGAAACACATAAGGAAGGATGTTAAAAATCTGTGTATAACACTTGTGCTCTAGAATAAGACGAAAGCAGGGAAGATTCACCAAAAGCAGAGACTGGTAAAATCAGACACAGAAGAAGTTTAAAAAAAAAAAAAAAGAAGAAAATAAGGATTACACAATAGGCCATCTGAAATGCCAAGACAAATAATTTTTGGTAAAGAGGATTATAAAGGTAAGTGAGGATGATTGTCTACTAATGTCTGATGCATTGTAAAAATGCTCCTTTTGAAGTGAATGAATTTGAGTCAAAATGTTTGAGTTAGATCTAATTTTATAAATGTGTGTGCATTTATTATATTTCCCTAAATTATATTTTTTAGATTCTAACTTGGGATTCATGTCAGAATTGGTTTTCATCTTGAATACGTCCGTCATTTGTATTTATGCTACCAGTTAGAAACATAGAATGTGATGGCAGATAAGAACCATCTGGCCCATCTAGTCTTCCCAATGTTCTAAATACTTTCATTAGTCCCTGGTCTTATCTTATAGCTAAGATATACGAATCTTCAGAATCCTCACTTTTGTGGGTTTTTTTTTTAAATTTGGAGTAATATTGACTTTACATTCAGATAATGGAAATTAGCTGGAAAACAAAAGTACACTATGATAGTGAGACTTCAAGTGGGATACAGGGACAAATCTTTAATACTGATAGATATGTATAGTTTATATAAAAACAAGTCATATCTGCTTTGTTCTTTTTCTGTGTGTTTGTTATTTATGTCACTGAAAATTGCTAATCTCTATATAATCAGATTATGAAATAGATAGGACTTTGATTGGGAATTTCACATGAAAATGACAAGTGTCTACCATCCAGAATCAATCATGTTTAAAATTATAAAAATGTTGGAGTCATTCTCTGTGTTTCATTATTTTTAAGAACGGTAATAAAGAGCAACACTTGAGGGAAGACAGACAAGACGTTCTGTTTTTGGCATGTTAAATTTAAGAAAATGAGCAGCAATCCAGTTAGAAATAGCAGAGAGGCAGTGAGAGACATGATTCAAGAGGGATGGCAAGAGATCAGGAGAGGACAGATAGATTTGCGTGTCAGCAGCCTTGAAGTGATATTGGAAGACAAAAGGGAGGAGGTATAGATCGAGAATAGTAGGAGATTA